ATGAGTATATAGGTTATTAATTATTTTTAGTGCCAGTGGTTTTCCAGTTATAATTAAATTTCAACCTGCAACCTGCACCCTGCAAAATATACCTGCTGGGCACTTACAGGTCAGACTGACTGGTTTATTTAAAAAACATGTTGACAAAAAGGAATTCACCTTGGTTCCTGTAGCCTCATTGTATCATCCTGTCGACAAACAGTGCGGTTTCTGGCCCCATCAGCAAATTGAACAAGAAAGCCCATTGAGGCTGCACAGAAACATATGTTCATGTAAAAGAGGATCACTGATGGATAGCGATTCTGTGACTTCCAGCCAATCAGAAATGTTATCTGTCAAAAGTAAAGCAGTTGTAATTAATTATTATCCTGAGGAGTATTAGTGAACAGCATATTGACTAATTATCAGACTCCATATTTACCATGCATGGCGTTATATCATGTGAAAAAGTACCAGGTCCATTAATTGGTGACAGTGAAAAATGCAACCTAGCTGATTGCTGAGCAGAGTTCTTGTGTTAATGAAAGGCACAGTAACAAATAAGCAACAATATTCTGTTTTGCATTTCTAATAACACATGCATCACTGGTCAACACAGTTCACAATAATTCATTGAGCGATGTTAAAATGACAGATCAGAGTAGTCATACCATTGTAAAAAGACTGCACGTAAATGAAAGACTTCCAAATGCTCCAACGAATCTGTGAATTCTTGTGTGTTCCTCACTGGTGAAGATAGGATTTTCACACTGAATTCCACACCCTTCTATTCCTTCATACCAGCTGGATGTGTGGTTTGTTTCAACCAAGGGCCTCTTGCAAGCAGATTCATTGAGATGAAGTTCAGTTATCTAAAAATATATTTCACAGGAAAAAAAGTTAACATTTACTTCTCCCTTTGAAGCCTTGCCCATTATCGGATGGAGAGGGGTGTAAATAGTAAGAGTGCAGTGTATGTACAAAGCCAGGGAATAAATGTTTTGTGCTGTCATTTTAGTTGACCATGAGAAATGATGTAAACTAAAGTAACATGACGACAGGAATTCTTTTCCTTATTAATTATACAGCCCTGTCCACACCTTGAATTCCAAACAATAGAAAGCTGTTGTCAGATTCTATATGACCAGGCTAACACCAAGTTGGCTAAAATCAAGTGACATTCTGCAAGTTTTCAAAGCAAGTTTCGACAAATTGTAGGTGCAATGCATTCTACAGTTAGCCAGGCAGTGGTTTATCCTTTGTTATCCTGACAAACTATCTTTATGCAGGATATCTTCTAAGTATGGATAACACTTAACAATTACTTCCAACAAATCACTAATGACTTAGGTCCCACTGAAAAACAGGTTCATTTTGTTTCCCAAACTGAAAAAGTGATCTCAAACTTAAAGCCAAATTGTTGAAGATTTGCAAGCTATGAGCTCCTACATACCTGGGGATTTTTGTTGTAGATATGCAACTTTGTTAACATTTTTAACCATGACTCAACTTTTTCATAATCTGAAAATATGGTATTTCATGAAGACAACATCTTTCCTTGTAATTTTTTTTTAATTCTCCTTACCTGTTTGCTTGATAATGTATTAAAATGGTAATAAGAAATCAGATGTTGATCAATTGGGAATTTGCCAATGTCACTGTGATCGACTGGGGTAAGCATGCAAGTCATTCATTGGAGCGACATTTTTACCTTTGAAAAAATCGTTAAACTAATTTCCTTCAATCTTATTAGACACCCTCATAACCACACTACCCGAGATGAGTATAAGAGCAACCCTGACGATCTAAGGTGACTGTATGCTTCAATATATACCTATCAATATTGTTTACACTATGGCAGATTAGAAAGCCAGCAGTAAATGATCCCTGGTATATTTAGCGGGCAGTCACGTTATAGACAACCTGATAATCTTTCTGTTTTAAATACACTCTTGACTATTTCTCTGGCTTTAAAGATGTTATTTACTTTGAAAGCCACACCGTTTATAGAGCCTGTCGAAATCAAATGCATGTACCGTCCAATGTTTAACAAACAAGACATGCACGCGTTCGTTTGTCTGTTTGGTCTGCAAGTTATCCGTCTGCCCATGGGACGGGAAGAATATCACTTTCTTTTTCCCTAAACATTCTTCATGATACTTATTTTTAATTATTACACAGTTCAATTCTCTACTCACCGAGCCACCTTTGCAGCCTCCTAAGGGAAACCGTTCGCATTTTAAAAACTCTGGCCAGTCTTCGTTGTAGCGTTTCACAACATAGCAAGGAGTCCTTGTAGCAAGACACTGTTCCCGACAGGGCAACTGAACGCTGCTATTGTGGCAACGCGGTTTATAAACTTGACATAAAAGTGGCTGAAGAACCGACCAACACCTTGACAAGAATTTCAAGCCTTCCCAACGTTTTAAATTGTCCCTGATTTCTGGTTGTGTTTGAGAATCTGTGACCAAGTCTGTTGTTGTGAAGTTATAGTCCAAGCTTGATCCGAAGCACGTTCGTTCCTCAAGCAATTCACACTGATAATTTACACCGCAAGTTCCTTTCAGCGACGAATATAGAACAACAAGAGCATACAGGCATGATTTAGCCATACGAAAATAAGAGCACAGGCATTAGAGTACCGTCTTCATTGAATTAAATTCTCGAACATAGGATGCTCGCAGTTCATTGACACATTCCTTTGCTCTCACACAGGTTATTAAGTTTCATGTAAAGTGATCTTTGTTTATTTTGTGATTAACTTGTTAACTAATTAAACCAAAGTGTATGAAACATTTACTAAGGTGGTTTTTTCTGATATTTTACCGTTCTGCATGCATACCATCATTTAACTGTTTCGATAACAGTTGACAAAATATGGGACTTTTTAAATTGTGGTCATCCTTCAGGAAATCTAGGTTTGCGGAAAGTTGAATTCAGTTCAGTTCACTGTACATACATTTACCTTTGTTGTGTTCAGTCTACAAATACCCAAGAGATCATTAAAAACTATTAATTACTGATGATGGTGTACAATTAGTTTTCGGCGCTTTATGATCTTTTGTTGTGTTCGACTGAGAGAGAGAACGCGGTTATGCCGTTGTGTACAGACACTAGTGGCTTTGGCAGTTATTTATCGTTGCAAATTTGAAGAGTACTTTCTGTTTACTTCCTTAGTCATTCTTAGGCCTTTGACGCAAACATTTTGCTTTTTTTGTTTTCCCGGCTTGACTCTGGCCTCTATAGTTTAGATATTCCTGAGTGAGGCGTCTAATGCCATTCTACCAGTTCACGGTACGGGAGTAGTGTTTTGCGTCTGCTAAAACTGCGAGCCACGGTGCGAGCCATGCGAGTCATGCGAGTCATGCGAGCCATTTTTGCGAGTATTTTTTTTTTTTTTTT